CCCCCCCCCCCAAACATTCCTCCTGCAAGCAGTCATTGCTAACAAACTCTTTGAACATTACCTTTTTTCTTTGTTATGTTTGGCCATGGTACAGGCCACGAGTCCATCCTGCACAGATCACCAACACGATCTTTTTCTGTCAGTTCATCACACAAGGGAAACGAGAGATTAAACATACTTATCTCTCGATCACACTCTTTCCTCATCAGTTCACAGTGCCAGCGACAAGGACGATAAGGCAATCTATTGTGCATGTAACAAGGTGTAGTCTGTCCGTAGCACGARTACCTCTTCAGGTACTCTGCACAACCGTTTTTAATCAAGGRTTGGCTGTGACTCAAACCTTTTGTSAGTTTGGTTCTTATATCTTCTKGTAATTGGCTATAATTCCCKTGAATGCATGCTGGGATTGTTTGGGAAGAACAGTTAAACGAGATGGCTGAAAAGAAGAATATTATACAAATAAATATGGCTCAAACTGAAGCGACTTGTAACTTTAGGACTGGCTGTAGAGCGGAGTCTAGCGTTGTTGTGCCACCTTTTTGTCACCTTTCCTTTACAGAGAGGACACTCGAATCGTGAACACTTTGAGTTTTTTTCACTAGGTTATTAATTCCTGAATTTTCTATGTTACTTCAAACCCTCTTAAATGACTGAAGCATTGCTCGATTAGCTCAAGGAATGATTTACATACCCTCATGACTGAACGGCCAAAAAGGAGGGCAAAGATAGACCTCATGCTAGCATGGTATGATTTATAATATGATGCATTAAATAAAGTGTTCACGGTCACGAGTGCACGTGTCCTCACTGTAGTCAGTTCTGAACCTTTCCAAAAACTCTCTCATCGGAACTGAGTTTACAACCCTTCTATCTAGCAACACCCTTAGCAACCTAACCCCTTATCTGGTATCCTAGCAACACAAGCCATCAGACAGCCTTACATATGTTTTGTTGTCTAGCCTAGTTTAGTGGTAGAATGTTTGAGAAAACCTCCCTCTCGTAAATATGATTAATAAAAATGTGTAGAAATTCGTTCATTTARTTGTTTTATATCTTTTGTAGTACTCAAGTGATAAGTTAAGTCCGTCCGAGTCGACCTTTGGGCTTCATAGAAACTAAGATAATCAATCAGTTAGCGTGCACGCAAAAAACCCGTGAATAATATTTAGTACTAATTAGTAGTAATTCATACAGAATCCTTTGTTTCCTATTGTTTGATTATCACTATTTAGTACTAAAAATTAGTATTTGTTTCACGGGCTTAGTGCGAGTACTCTATCTACAAATAAATGTATGGAGCGATGCGGTTTAGCGTTGATTGAGAGTAGATGACGTCATATCCTAGCGTTAAAAATTCGTTATAATGTAATACTTCCCWTTGGAATATTTTTTTTAAATTACTTAACCAGTGATTAGTAGACCCTAAAAGATGATGTATGTTCCAGTGAAGTCCCAGCTGAATTAAATTTCGTACGATTTTCGGCCAAGTAGCATTTTCAGTCTCACGTGCCCCCATTTTCTATTTTTATCTTTATTTTATGCTTTTTTCCACGTTCATCCAAGCGTTAATTGCTCAGTTTCACTCTTTTTTCYGGTTTTTAAAGAAGTTATTGGTGCATATCACATATCAAATCTTATTCAAATTCAACTTGTTTGTCGAGATTTTTTTAAAGCAAATTTTGACATCTAAAACGGAATCTAAAAGATGGTTTACTCAATTGAATGTTCCAGACATTCCTAGYAAATATTCAATCAAATTAGAAAGTTTTCGCACAGCCATGATGCAGAAAAAACAACGGCAACAGAAATGTTCTCATATAAAATCAACCGTTTCAAACTTACCTAATTTCTTATGTTTTCCTTGTTTTTCTAATCCTTTTGGTTCGATGCATACACCATCATCTCCTCGGCTATGTGGTAGCTCGTTACAAATCGTTGCATAAAGAACCTTCAGATTTCTTTCTTCTAATTTACTTCCACATTGTTCAACGAACTGCTCACAGATCTCACGACACGGCAAAACTGGGCTGCTTCGACCTTCAACGCACTTTGGTACAAAACGTGAACAAATCATTAGTTCCGACACGATGGAGCACGTCTTCAACTCTCTTTGAAGGTGTAATACTTTTGAGTAAACTCCGTCTTGATAGGAAACTCCATTCACGCTTTTAAAACTTGCTGTGAAGTTGTAGCCGCCATTTATTTTGGAGCAGAGCTGTTGAAGTTGGTTGTCGAGTTTTTGGCACACGAAAGAAGAACCATGGCCATAACAACATAACACGACAAATAATAATGTAAAAAATATCTTGCCATTCAAGGCCATATTCAGCTCGTAAAYAATCGGTAAATATTCTAGCTCTTTTTCCCGCCCTGATTCTTAAAACACATTTCCCATGTCTTCGGCAGAAGTTCAACCAATCTACGTTTTTACAGCTTACAAAACTAATTTAAATGTCGTGTTGATATATTTATGTGAACATCTCTATAAATATAATGCGTCTAATATTATTAATGACTATATTAAGGACTTTCTTCATGGGTGAATAAATAAATGAATAGTCAGTATACATTTACAGCATTTTATTTTAATTGGTTTCTCTAGTTACATTTAAATAAAATCTCAACAAATAGCTCAAAATCTCTCTTGACAGTCTTTCAGAACAGTATATTGATGTTTCTTTTGCTGTTCTGTAGTCCATTAATGTTATGCCCTCAACCCTAATGATAGATATTGACCACCATGGTTATCACCAACTAAAAGGTATGCGGAAAGTTAGGCGAAATGGTGAATCTATAATCACGCTAGCCTTTAGGCTCTCCCGTAGGCAATTCTCGCATTTCGCAAACCTTTGTGAGGTTTTGAGCTTAGAGTCCAAATGGAACTCTGTAGCTTAGGCGTAATGTCAGTCGCCCATTACAGACACGTGTCTTTCCCTAGAGTATTATTTCTTTGTTTAAAAGTTGCGTACGAGAAGACGCACCTATCACTAAAATCTTATTTTCAAGAGAATGACACGTGGTCTGAAATGGGAAAACATTACAGCTGATGAGAAGAACTCTAGTCTTTCCTTTATACGCTTGAGTGCATGAAACACAGGACTCGCCCGGTCTTAGCTCTAGTCAACGGTCAGTTCATGAAACTGACGTGTGCGAAAGCGAAGCTAGAGAATCGAGCCTGCTCATAGGTTAGTTTACAACAAGAAGTAAAGAAGATTTTATAATTTAGTTAAGGAAAAGTTTATACGTCTCATATCAAGATCGGCTTTACGCGTATTTTATTCAAAGAAGTTATAGTTAAACACTGTGTAGCTTCATCGTTGTACGAGCCGGAGTAAGTAACCACAGTGGCGTGACTTTACGCTCATTTAGGTTTTTATAAGAATTATAAGAAAAAGAATTAATCTTCATGATGTCACATCAAAAACAATTTAGACCCAACTACCTCCCTCCCTCCCTTCCTCCCTCCCTCCCTTCCTCCCTCCCCAGGCTATAAATGTTGACCAGTCCCTTAACTGCTTGAAACATTTTAACGTAGCAATGAATGCACATAAATATGGCTAGCCTAAAATATAACCTGAAATATTTATAGCTAATTGCAGATATTTTCGATGGAACGAAAAATTGCAATGTGAAAAAAGGAGTGTGTAGCCGGGCTTTGTGCCACACTCAATCAAAAAAGCGTTTGCACTAGCAAACCATCTTGGTTTACGGCTGGGAGTGGTACAGCAATGTAACCATGTTTATGCTATCGGTCATGCAACCTTTTTCGCCTCTACGTTAATGATATCCATAGAGTACAAGTTTCCAAAACGTTCATAAATCTAAATATAACAAATATTCATTGGTGCACAAGGTATTCCAGCCTACTGCCATTCCTGGAAAATGCCCTCAGTCCTAGGCCTGGAAGACAGGAATGAAAAGATTGGTGCCGGCTTGGATAACAGGCTTCGCAACAGTTCGGTCTATTATTTTTGCTTGCCTATAACCCAGTCACAAGACTCGACATATCAATAAACCTTTTACGTGGGAACAACTACTGTCATTTCTTCTTCATCCTCCTCTTCTTCTCCATGACGGYAATACCCTCGGAGCCTAAAAATCCTCTTTTTCTTGAAAACGATGTAAACTCCAAACGCGAGAAGCCCAAGGGCTATGACGATGATTACAGAGATAATTACTGCTCCAACGCTGATTCCTGATCCTTGTGGACTTCCAGTCAAGACAATACCATGGGGATTGACTACTGAGACGAGAACTATAGCAGTTAGAACGCGGCGGCTTTTCGATCATGWATCTGCGACCCACACAACTCCAGACGCTTTACGTTTGCTTGTGTCTTTTCCTTTTTGCGTCCATCAAATATACAACKGTACTTGTTTTTATTGCAGCCAGCTAAACTTAAGACGTCTTGAAGTTGTAAAGATTGCAGAAACATGATCATGGAAAACTTTCCAAAATAACATCCTCCGATCTAAGTCAGGGCACGACTTCTTCATATTTAGCTTGTTAGGTTTTACCATAGTTAATAGAGGGGAATGGTTATAAAAGCCGGCGAACTTCAAAGGACCGGCCTATTGTTTCGCATTTGATGTTGAACCGTACCATCACGTGACACTGACCATGCACGCATTGAAAACAAATATGGCGGCCGACAGTGAATAGTTTGTATTTGSAGGTTTTACGGAGAGAAGAAAACCGGAGAACGCACCGAAAAAACCCCTCAAGTGCATTAAGGCTTGGTTAAAACCAATTTACATAGAATATAGATTTTAAGAACCTTTTGTCTCATATATAGTGAAAATTCTTATTTTACCATTTCTCACGGTTAAACATCCTCGATTTTTTTTTTAAATTCACGTGACGAATATTTGTTTGCAAATTTTTGTTTTAAAATTGGGCGTAAAAATTTTTTTTTTAATGACAAACTGTACGTTGTTTACTTTCTTTTAGAGAGGACGTTAAGATAAAGGCTGCGTACGCCCCATTTTCAAAAAATCCTTAAAGTTTTAAGCCTTTTAGTGCCTTAAAGTCACGTGACCAGCAAAATAATTTTTCAAATATTTCAAAATTGTTGCAAACCAAGATCTACAACTCCCATAAACGAATGRAAATTGTATCTCCAAAGCCCATCYAATCTTTTATYACGGAAACCAAAAAGTTCATAATTTGTCTTATGACCAAGCCATAATCGCTTGAGCCCTCGAATCAAGGGAGAGATCTACAATTAATCCAGTTTCAAGTTCTCCTTGCTCAGTCTTAGTCTCGGTTGTGCGCGATGATATACGGCAACTGAATTCAACCAAAACCCGTGACATTTTAATCATCTCGTATTATTCCGATTGAGTCTAAGACTGAGTAAACGCGAACTCGAAATGGGAGTATTCTACTTATGCATATGAGCATGCACATTATCAAACATTGAATAAAAACCTACCTCCTTTAGTTGTCCATCTACTTGTCCCAGGCCATTTAGTCACCCTACAAAACCCCTCATACTCAGTCTCCTCCTCAGCCACCATTGTACAATCCTCAAAGATGCCAATCTCCTTTTCGAAAACAACTGGGCATTGATTCTTAAGGACTCGACACTTKGGTTCACATACTGTGTAGATGGCTGGTTCTGATTGGTTCTCAAAGCAGGCGGGTACTAGCTCTGTACAAAGTAACTCCTTCAGAACAGGTTGACAAGCAGTGTTGCTTGAAGTTGTTTTGTTTAATATTGTATCGAAGTGATGGTTCATGAGCCATAGCTGTTCGATGAATGTCCTTGTGGTATAATGATACCCAAAGCCCACACACTGTGGTAGAAACAGTTTGGAACAATTTTGCTGTAGCGGAACTGTAAAAGAATAAGCGTGCAAACATTAGTATTCAAACTAATCATCTCTCACGTATGTAAATTGCATTGCATTTGATTATTTAACAGATCAAAAACAGTTTTCCGTGTTTGATACTCTGAGCAAAACACGCGTGATGTTGCGAGAATGAGAGGAGCGTAGAAAACCACGACGCATAGCGGAGTGGTTTCCAGCTTCTCGAGTGTTCTCCCAACATCCCAAGTGTTTTTGATTTCTTTTATAAAATAACAAACGCGCGAAAAGATGGAAGAAACCCAAAGCCTAAGTAAATTTTCCCTACGTGCCGTCTTWTTCAAACTGACCAATGAGCGCGCGCGATAGATTAAAATCTGACGGTTGCAATACTCGCGTCGTTGTTTCCTACGCTCCTCTCGTGTTCTCTCAACGATAGCGTGTTTTGATACTCTCATCTTGATAATTTTTCAATCGAGACATTGAAGAACTTGCTTATCTTCATATCTATACACACTCTCTGGTGATTTTTATAATCCCCACGCACTAACAACAACACAATTGCAGTTTAGGGACTAGTTTCGTCCGTTTATTAGGGCCTTTTCAACCTAACTGAATCTAACTGAATGATTACGTTGCGATATAGTGTTTATACTCGTGATGAACCAGAGCGCGCGCAGTAAACTTGCGCGAGCTGTAAAAGTATAAGAAGAAGAAGAANGAAGAAAGCTACACAATCTCGTTTTAGAAGAATAGTGAAGAAATGATAAATTTGGAAATTTGGAAAAAAAATGGAACCCACGACTTTGTACCCACGACCCACGACTTCGTACCCACGACCCACGACTTTGTACCCACGACCCACGACCCACGACCATTAGGCAAACTTACTTTTAACGCTCGTGCTAGCTTTCTCCACTAATTTGATCTTAATGCTACTCTTTCTGACATCATCTTCAAGTCTTCTTTTCAGCTCCGAGTTTGGTGTCGCTGGTATCATTATGACACTCGTATATGTTGAAATATGTAGAAATGAACATGTATGATACTCTCATCAAACGTGGTTTTCGACCAATCATAGCGCGCGTAGTATCCCAATTATTTTATAAACAGATATCATAGAAAGGGCGCTATATTTAACAATTATTCGCCGAAGGCGAAGTGATTATCGGGGGATTATTTCCGAGACGCGAGTCTTCGAGCGGCGAGGTAAATATTCCCAAATAATCACTGAGCCTGGGGCAAATAATTGTTTTAGCATAAGTGCACCGCTGATTCTTTCAAAAAAAAGGAAAAAAAAGAAGATAAAAGGCATTTTTTCCCCGGTAACAGCAACAAAGCGGCCGCCATTTTGGATTTTCGCTAGAGGAGATTATCGTGTGATAGTGTGAGTTTCTTGACCAATCAGCGCGCGAGATTTTCTATAATCACCTGTGTATTTTTACTAAAAATCATGAGTATTTATATTATATTGATAAATCGACAGGCAGAGGTCAAATCAGGGGCGTAAAAGACGGCGCGGGACACGTGGTGGCAAAAATCATACAGAGGATGGAGGGAGAGAAAAATATTTTTCTCGTTTAAAAATTATAGACTTTTTTGAAGCATAATATTTCCTAATAATTGTAGCTTATCAAAAGCAGGTTTTTCACAGTTTCAAAAAGTGATATCTTTATAAATTAACAGCCTGGAAATGATCTAATAAAAGGCTGTGATAGCCATGTAACGACTGTAACAAGTTGTCAGCTAAAATACTCTTATCTTAGCGAGTAAGTGTTTTTCAYATGTACATCACAGGGACACCCAATAAAAGTGCCCGACGAAAATAAAAATCCAGAAAAAATACCATTTATAGAAAAAAATTGTGTGGAAACTGCAAAAGTTTGTTTATAATACAAGCGAACAGAAAACTTATTAAAATAAAGCAATATACCGAGTGACAAAAACACATTTCATATATAGAATTTGTTTCTAACACTGCACGTCTTTATTTTTGTCTAGACTTTCGCAAAGTCCGCCGCCCGCTTTGTTTTTTGTTTTGTTTTTTTTTACTGGCGCTCGCTCGCTTCGCTCGAATTAAAAAACTCCGGGAAAACAAGAGAAGTCGACTTGGGGCAAGTCTAATTTTTACCGAGCTTTCGCACTACTAGTGCATCATTAGGGCTGAACAAATCCTATAGTAACCATGGTACCATGCACGTACAACAACATTTACTAACAATAATATTTATATAGTTTTCGCGCCTTTGTTTTCCTATGTTATTCCCTATCCCCTGTGTTGAAATATGTAGAAATGAACGTGTATGTAAACTTTCTGTAGCCATTATTTACACAACTATGTAAACTGTGTTTTGATAGATACATATGGAATTTTTCCTTCAAAATAAATCCTCTCTCTCTCTCAATATCTTGAGCGCTCTGCTACTCATTTGTTTAATTATTGGAAACGGCGTCAATTCAGTGAGACAGGTGTAAGTGGGCTGCTGATTCAGAGCGATGCTAATAAGCGTTGGAAAAAGTCTCTTGCTGAGGTGCACTATATAAATTTCTGTCATGCTTCGACTTTACCGGGATTTAAATCATGAAATAATCTTAGTTTCGTAAAAAAATATATATACAAAAATGTTCGTGAGGTACAAACAAAGGTACTTCTAATTCTTCCTCCAGAACTGGAGCTAAAGTAATTAGTTTGTGGTATTTAATATTTTCTATAAGTGCATGTTTACGCCGTTTAACTAACCGTTTTTATATTGTGGTTTGAAGTCCTTKGGCTCGATGCATTTACCAGTGGTTGGCTCTTCGTCTGGTAACAACTTGCAAAGGCCCTTAAACCATTCTACATCTCCTCTTCTAACCCTTTGAACATCGCATCCTCTCAGTACATCAGTACAAACTCGACGACAAGGCAAAAWAGGAGCCTCCATTCCTTCGATACACTGTGGAACTGTAGCAGAACAGACAAAGAAATCTATATATGGAGAACATCTTCTTAATTTCTCTATCGTTCGTCGTGTCAAATTGGATTTGAAAATTAATTCTTTGCTCTGGTTTGGCGGAGCTCTTATTGTGGCGTCTATTCCAGCTTTTATGCAGCTTGGAAAGAGCGATGGGTCCAGTTTATGGCACTGTTCTTCACACGAGCTAATGGCCAGAAAAAACAAACAAAATACAACGAAAATATAAACGTTTYCTTTCCTCGAAATTTGTCTGCAGTTACTTCTTGTTTCCATTTTTTCGGTCAAATATCCTCAAAATTTAACTCAAAAGTATACCGTCATTGATTAAAAAAACTGAGATCGTGTGAGCACTAAGATAACCAGATGTCTACGGCACCGTTAGGTCGATATGTCCTAGATGCCAGTGTTTGTATGATTTTCTAGATCCGTCTGATTTTCTAGATATCAATAATTTATGCTCAGAGCCACTGTTCTTCACTATTGACTTCTCAAATTYGCTGCGTAATGGAAGCTTGCAGAGATTCATTGAGTTTTCTATCTTTGTTATGTTTTRTTGTCTCCAATCTGACGCGCAGGTTTTGTCCTTCAAAATGCATTATTCARGTCATCTCATTTCCGTATTGAAACAAGAGCCCTGTTGTGTGAGAGAGCTAGAGAGAGATGCATTTTCTTATTCGCGCAGGGAATCTATAAGCTATGATTCGAAAATAACAAGTATTCTTACTTAAACAATCAGTACTGATTTTTGATTCACTTTTCTGATAAATTCAGCTAATTAARAAGCCTTTGATCGTTACGTCGAACATTTAATACAACGATCCTTCTGCTGGAATAATAGTCCCTAACTCCTCATTCTAAGATTATTCAWTTCAAGATTAGCTATTAAGGCGTTTCGGAAACGTCTGAAACGTTTTTTTAAGAACTCATAAAATAAGCTCTTATTAGATCAGTGAGAGTTCGGGGGATTTCAATTGATTGCTTGCTCTTTTAAGATATGATCATAAGGCCCAGTTAAAAAGTTAAATCTCACACGTCGTCGCATCTAATCTGGCCAATAAATACCGAAAAATATGTTACGTACGTTTTGCTTATTTTCATTAGATTTGATGAATAATTCCTAAAACGTTTTTGATCGATTCAGTGCTAATAATGAGCCAAACAAATGTTATTGAACGTGAAGAACTAGGACACACAGGAATTAATGACATTGTTAGAGAGTTTTAGATTTACGTTCACGGCAAACGTCAAACGTCAGTTGACCATTTAAAAATTATTTTAAATAGCTTAAAAAGAATCGCAAAAAAGTCTAAGTAGTAGAAAAACAAAAGAATATTTGTCTTTTGTGAGAAGGTTTGTAAAAGGTAAAGTAACTCTACAGGAAAACGATGAAAACGTGGTCACGTTTGCCGTTTGCGGGGAGAGAAAGAGTCAATCTAAAACTCTCTATAGTAGGCATTTGTATCTTATATTATTTTGCTATTTTTTATGTGCGTATGAAAAAAGAAACAATAAGGAATGAGAGAGAAAAGGAAAGGGAAAAAAAGGATATATGGAATGTGAAAGAAGGAAATAGAAAGAAGGAATATGTCAAAATAAAAATCAAATTCTCGACGACATTTCTGATTTTTATTTTTAATTTTTGGTTAAAGAAAAACAAAAATCCCAGACGCAGGAAGTCGACTTTAAAATAATCCAGTGAAGCAATTATGAAATATCCAGGTGTCTATTACGAGATCACTGATCGATTAGTCGACTTCATTTTATGAATGATTCTACGTAATATATATGTGACCCGACGCCGGGCTGGATAAGCACACTGTATTTTTTCTACCTGAGACATAATGTAATTAGTCAAAAGGTCAAGAATAGGGACCCGATTTTTATGTGGTGAGCCCCCCAGAGACTGGTGTCGTGTGTGTCAGTATAGTGACTAGTCCATACGTAAATAAAGAAGTTGTTTAGCACACATGCAAGCAGACAGTACATTCATTTCTGCAATTTGACTTTTAGTTTTGGAGGTATTTGAGGACAAAATCCCTTTCCAGTGGGGTGGGTAGGAGTTAATGACACCCTCATCCCCCCCCCCCCCCCCGCTTAAAACGGTCCCCGTATGATAAAGAGTCTATATATACCAGCGATTTTTTTCACAGTTCAAGTACTCGTGAAAAAGGTAGTGCGCACTTAGTTGAGTAAATATTTTAATATTGAATATTATAACTGAAATAAAATACAGATTAAATAAATAAATACAAAAAAATACAATACATATACGTTGTTTTCTGATTATTTAACACTATACTATTTAGGTCCCGGGGCAGACAAATTCAGTACATAACCAACTGGTTTCCAAATTTGCCCACATGATAAAGAAGAGTTCAATTAATCTTTACGAGTTTTCCATAGTACTTCATACATATAGGTACCTTGAGAAGTTTTGACTTAGAAATGAACCCTTCAGAGGAACTGAAGACTTAGTTTCGTTTTAAGACTAAATAGACCTATAGCAGGGGTCCTTCAGTAGCGCGGTGCGCGACTACTTGTGACACAGTTAATGCCGGAGTGAGAATGCAATAACCTCTGGGCCCCAGGGTAGGCATATATGAGAAGATAGATTATATATAACTAATGGAATAACTGAAAAGGAATACGAAACTTGACCAGCGGTTTGGAATGGGAAAGTGGTTAGACCGCGAGGACTTTTGACTCGTAACCAATCTTCCTCGASCAATCGACACGGACAGACAGACGGACAGTGACCAAGGGAAATAGATGGACTTAGCTCGCAGTCTAGAACATGGTATCCAACGAGGCTAATAGAATATTTGATCATTGTATCTACTGGATCAACACAAAAAGAAAAGTCTAATGAAAAATTAATAAAGAATTAACAGGCCTTCCCACAAAAGAACATCTAACAAAGGGTTATTGACCGATCTTGACAATCTAAATGGAAATAATCCAACTTGAGCTAAAGCTTTATTTGAACAAAAATATCAGTTGCAGTAGAACATCAATCAAAATCAAAATCAAACAAAAAYTTTATCATCGACAGGAAAAGACCTTGATCGATTGGTTCAAATCCTTAGTGATAAGTAACAGATCACAATCAAACAGAAAAAACYTTTTTTTGGAAGGGGAGGGGGGAGCCATAAAATCATAAGAATTCGCAGAAAACCCACACTTCAGACTCCAGAGCTTATTCAAGAATTGTTTCTAATGATATATTTAAACAGTATATACATATGAACAATGAACCCCCTCTTCCCCAAGTTGTCTCAATCTCAATCCCTACCCACCTTCCCCTGTGCATTTTTGTCCCAGTGTCAAATTGATGTCCTACAGTGAATCAGGAAAGTTCTTTTGTTTCAACAACGATATCTCAACCAGGCACAGCAAACTTGGCAGTTGACATTAGATGCTATTGCAAACACACCTCACATCTATCTTCCGTCCGTGCAGTGTGAACTCCTTCCTTCTCACTGACCAATCTAGCTTGGCCATGTTAAGGTGCCTCTTTCTTGTGTTTGTAGCTCTGCTACTTAAGACGTCGTCGGCAGCTTTCGAMCAAGCAGAGGAGAACAGAACGCTTGCTTTTCTCAACTGGTACAACTACCAAGCAGCAATAGAAGAATATAAAGCTAACGAAGGCTCATGGAAGTACGCCACGAACTTGACAAAGGAAAACCAGGCMGAAAAGACCAAAACRAGCGTTAGTTTTTCCATGTTCATGCAAGGTGCCCGCAAAAATGCCTCCAAGTTTGATGTCAGTAAGCTCTCTGAAGATTCTAAACGTCAGATCAAAATGATCATCGCGAGTGCGAGTCCAAAGGACAAGGATGATCTCAAGAGGTTGAGCGACTTGGAAGGAGAAATGGAAAATATCTATAGCTCTAGCAAGGTGGTTGATTCTGATGGCAAAGAACTTGCCTTAGACCCGGACCTCTCCAAGATATTGAGGACAAGCAGAGATTATGAAAGGCTTAAATTTGCATGGAAAGGATGGCGTGATGCAACGGGACCCAAGCTCCGTCCTATCTACAAGACGTTTGTTGAACTATCAAACAAGGGAGCCAAAGAGAATAACTGGGACGATACTGGTGCGTGGTGGCGATCATGGTATGAAGTGGATAATTTGGAAGAAGTTGTGGATGGGCTTTATAACGACCTGAAACCTCTCTATGAGGAGCTACATGCTTACGTCCGCTACAAACTAAGCATTAAATATAAACAGGTCGATAAAAATGGGTCGATCCCTGCACATCTGTTTGGTAAYATGTGGTCTCAAAGTTGGGTGAACATTTACGATCTCGTAGAGCCCTACAAAGGAGAGCCAAGTTTGGATGTCACGAAAAATATGGTAGATCAAGGATACAACCCTCTTAAAATGGTTAAACTGGCTGACGAGTTCTTCAAGTCTGTTGGTTTGAAACCCCTTCCTGACAGTTTTTATAAGAAGTCATTGATTGAGAAGCCCTCAGATCGCGAGGTGATTTGTCATGCCTCAGCGTGGGACTTCTCTATTAACCACGATGTGAGGTAAGAAGAGCCTTCTAAAAGATGTTTGGGATGAAGTAGATAAGGGGGGAGGGGGTGGTGGTTTGCTCGAATTTACGCAACCCCTTCTGAAACGCGGTCCACATACTCCCTTCTGAAATATGTAATTGCCCGTTCCTAAGCCCATTTGTAATTTTAACTTTCGATACGGGATTAAGATGAAGTTGTTCCAAATTTTGGGATGATGACCTTGACGATAATCTTTCTGACCTGACATTGCTATTTCCACTTCACTTTAAATTCAAAAAAACTCAAGACAAACAAATTGTCAGTAAGTATGAAGCTCTTAGTTGATATAAAGTAAACATACTTTGGTTTCTAGTAAGTTACCAAAATTCCAATTACAACTATTTCTGAAATTTTTAACGAGTGCCTTACTCGGGTGAAATCAATACGAATGATATGATCTACGGAAACTAAGCTGATGTAGATAGCCATCTGACACTAAAGTGCACTTATTTTCACAATAAATACCATGGCATGTTTTGGAGACATGATCAGCGGGACCGCGATGCAAACCTATTGATCTATTCGATACCAAGCGGAGAAGAATTGATACGAAAAATGCACTTAGATAACCTTCACTGGCCCAGCTATGGCTTAAGTCGGTATGCATCATCTAATATGATGATGATGATGATAATGGTGTTACGAGCATGTTGGTGATAATAAGGACATTGGTGGCATGTAAGAMGACGATCGGCATTCCCTTTCAGAAGAGGGTTTAATACGAGAAATTGTTGACCCCTCTTGAGAAACAGTTTGACAGGGTCCACAAAAATATTTTTCAAAAGATATTTAAATTCTTACATAGTCCGTAACACATTTTCATTATTGAAATTTCACCGTTGTCTTCCATCCTTGCCTTCATTTCGAAACTTCAAAGTTCATTTCTCTGAGTGAGTGTAAATTTGATTAACTTCAGAGTTGAAGTAAGTTGTAAATGTCTGTCAAATTTAGCTTTTTCCTTTTAATTAGAAAATTTCCCYCTAGCATTCATTTTGCATTTTTTTCTATCTGGTACAACTCTATGTCTTTTATCTGCCATTTTTATGCTAAAGTTCCAAAGGCTTTTTCGAAGTAGATTAGAGTCAGAACCGTTTGAATTTAAAAAAACGTTACCATACTTAAAAGGCRCCGACGTGGAACATTATTGTTCTCTATTAACACTATTGACACTACAAGACCTTCACCYTTGGTATTTAAACTTCCTTCAGCACCAATGGCAGCGAAGGAAACAATAAGTAAATATTTTTTCTGGTAACCAAGGGATGTGAACGTTTTGCAGCTAGCAAMCTACAGTCAACTCTCGTTACAGCGGACACCTTTGGGACCGTCACTTCATGTCCGCAATAGCGAGCGTCCGTAATAGCGAAAATTATTTATGGTCATTTCTGTGTCAGTATTTTTGTCGGGGATTTTTCTCCTGTCCGTAATAGCAATGTGTCCGTAATATTGGGGTGTCCGTAAGGCGAGAGTTGACTGTATTCGCTAGACATCCAGACTAGACCGGATACTYAACAATAAATAACAACTTGAGACCTCTAAACGCTTAAACCTAAAAATGATAAAAGATCATTTGACACAAAGGCACCCGAAGGTCTCAAATCGCCCGAACGTGTTTAGACTAGAAATATCGATGCCAAAGGGGGYAACCATTAAAATAGCTCTTTTGGATATAACATTTTTGGTTTTGGTTTTGGTTACTTTTGAATAATTATATTTATATGACACTTTTAACGAACAGAACAAAGTGTCATCGATTAACCTWACTCTGTTCATGGATCAGCTGAGTGTACATGGCTTACTTTAAAAATTCTGCTCATCGCGCAGCTAGCGTTATGCACTAAGAATGATGTCACCGCCTGACATAACCTTAACGCACATTAGAGTGCACTCTACGTAGACACTTACAATTTAGAATCAGCGAAGTATTTTTATATTTTTTAATCTATTCCCGTACATCCGGTTCACATGTCGAGAGTTGAGCGGTTTTCCTCCATGCTTCCCAGTTGTGKTCGGCTTATCATTATTCGTGACGAATAGACCCTTTGTAGCACGTCGGAATGCAGCTCAATTTGAAAAGCAAAACAACAAGTTTCCAGTTCTCATGAGATTGAATTGAAATTCTTTGAAATTCTTACAATCGTTTRCATAAGAAAGAATTCAATTTCCGAGATCAAAGGAATTTTATTGTTCTGCGATCWAACCACAGGCAGCCCAAGCTGTATTAAAGGCTTGGGCACATGATGGCGTAAAACCAATTTGCGTGATCAAGCAATCTGACAATCTCGTAACCAGAGTCTGCGTTTTTCTGGCCTAAGGTGAATCCATTTTTTGAGACCAGGATTTTTTGGAATTCCGGTACACGAGCGCATGCGTTGAAAGACTTGCCAAAAATTTTWAAAAATGTGTTCCCGATTTCTAATTTTTATTTTGATCGGAAGTAAATTCAGAACTCTGTTTGAAGGCACGATTTTCATTTATTTTAATTCACTTGCGGAAAACTGCGCATGCGCCAAAAATGGATCATGCCAGAGCCCTCGTTCTTCGCCGCAGGCCAGAAAAAACGCAGGCTCTGGGTACGARAWTGGCGAGTCATATTTCTTACTCRATTTACTGTTCGATGACTACAGACTACATGTTATTCAAATACTGGTCTTAAAAATAGCCAAAAAGTCATTGTCAACACTAAGTAAAACAGTAGGAACTTGTGGATAAATTGGACCACCGTAAAAAGCTTTGTGAAACTGACGTTTCGGACGTYAGYCCTTCGTCGGACKAAGTAAAACACTTTTACTATACTTACTATAATAGTTGGAGTGAGCAAATAAATGCTAGGAGCATGCGCAGAAAGAATTGACTCTGTCCATTCGGCGAAAATTTCGYAGTCCGTTGTCTGTAGTCGTCGAATCTTAAATCGGCTGCACATACGGTTTTTGTGCAGCCAGTTTGCACCGTTTAGAGCATTGCAGTTTCGTTACTTGATAAGATTTTATGCTAGACTTTCGCAAAGTCCTTCGTCTCCATATTAGTTAACGTACTCTGAATAAAGCACAGGMAGCCCAACCAGAAACACACGCGCTRGACAAAGACTTTCCAACTTGTTTCCCGCCAATTTTAGCGACCTAAAAATGGGGTAAAAAATCATGCAAGAAAAACAAGTCGACCTCTCGCAACTTCGACGCTCGCTTTCTTTACTTGCTTCACTCGTKACTCAGTTGTCTCAAAGAGGCCGGCTTGGAGCAAGTCTAATTTAATGCCAGGGCGTCAAGAAACTCGTTGGCTAATTTCCTTGCAGTTAAAACTATACCACAGGCAACTGACGCAAAAGATAAGCACAAATGTCAGACAGAGAGCATCATAATTTGCTTTTGCGTCAGTTAACATTCCAGCAAACATTGAAAGATGAACCTGCCGTTACTTTCAAAACAGCCAACTTTACCACAGGTAGACCGCGCTGTAGAAAAACAGACGAGTGTTTTTTGGTTGTTTAGCTTTTTTGTTCTACTTTATCTTAGAATCAAGCAATGTACCACCGTGACCCACAACTATCTGGTGACGACCCACCATGAGTTGGGCCACATCCAATATTACCTGCAGTACTGGGACCAACCATTTGAATACCGCACTGGAGCSAACCCGGGCTTCCACGAGGCAGTAGGAGACACCCTGTCACTATCTGTGGACACTCCACAGCACTTGCAAAAGATTAATCTTCTGAAATCCGTTGGAAGTAGCAATGGTGAGAATGTAATCTGCTATGAATGTATCTCAGTGTTGAGGTTCCTGTGTTTTACCGACATCATTTAGTATGTAAACAAAAAACAAAATTGATTGTAAATTTACGAGGGCCATAAGTTAGATAACTCACTGGGTTATTGCGTCTCCCCTCTTTAAATAAAGTTTATCGTATTGCTAAACAAAGGCTTGCACGAGCCATTTTTACTGCCATATATTTGGTCTATATGCCCGTCTTTTCTGCGCAATCATGCTGTGCTCGTTGATATTTGCATTTACACGTGATGGGTATTTCCCCACAGCTTCMGACATCAACGCCTTGATGAAAATGGCCATGATGAAAATCGCTTTCTTGCCTTTTGGTTTCTTGATCGATCAGTGGAGATGGAAAGTGTTTAATGGCAAAATATCAAGCAATGAGTATAACAAGAAGTGGTGGGAACTGCGTACAAAATATCAGGGTATCAAACCACCTGTTTGTAGATCAGAAAACGACTTCGACCCTGGAGCTAAATACCACATTCCTGGCAATACACCATACATCAGGTAATGATAATGATTTATGATTTATATAGTGCCYTTTCTATATGAATATAATCAATAGCGCTTTACATTGAGTTATGAATGACAGATTGCTTTTATGCAATTTACAAGCATGAGAGATGGTTAGCACGAGGTGTAGGCACTGAGGATGGTCACTGCCAGGGTTTCTTTACGTCATCAGTGGTTCTTTTACGTCCCTCCGATTTTGGTCCGATGCTCAACCAACTGAGCCAACCGGTTTGCGGTAAACAATATTTGTGTTACCATCATAAAGGGTTGTGTGTCGACACCGGGACTAAATACCACATTCCTGGCATAAAACCATACATCAGGTAAACAATGGTTGTTTGCCACCATAAAGGGTTGTGTGTCGACCCTGGGGCTAAATACCACATTTCTGGCAATACACCATGCATCAGGTAAACAATGATTGGTTGCCACCATAAAGGGTTGTGTGTCGACCCTGGGGCTAAATACCACATTCCTGGCATAAAACCATACATCAGGTAAACAATGATTGGTTGCCACCATAAAGGGTTGTGTGTCGACCCTGGGGCTAAATACCACATTTCTTGCAATACACCATGCATCAGGTAAACAATGATTGGTTGCCACCATAAAGGGTTGTGTGTCGACCCTGGGGCTAAATACCACGTTTCTTGCAATACACCATGCATCAGGGAAACAATGATTGGTTGCCACCATAAAGGGATTCTGGTAGTAAATGACGCTTTGATACGAATTTCCTATTTCTTTTGGGATCTTATCCATTGGCTTTACTTACAGTGGTACTTGGATGATAAGTTGTATTTCGAATTTCATTTTTTGATAGGTATTTCGTGAGTTACGTGCTTCAGTTCCAGTTCCACAAGGCGGCTTGTGAAGCTGCAGGCTTCAAAGGACCACTTCACCAGTGCTCTATCTACAACTCCACAGCGGCGGGAAAGAAAATGGGGTTAGTTGAGTTTCATTAACCTATATTCATCAACATAATTAACCGTCCGTCCAACCATGCATGCAAAACCGTTCCATACATCAGTTATTTTTCCATCTATCCATTCTCTCCCTCCATCCGTTCAGTCATTCATCCATGGTCATCTATTCATTCGTCATCCATCTATCTATTCATTTATCATCCATCCATCCATCCCACACAAATACCCCTTTATGCCTTTATTGTTATCCATCTATCCATCTCACACCCTCAATTCGATCTATCCATCCTCCCTCCCTCTCCCTATCAATGAAAACAYCTTATAAAATAACCAAAATGTTTGTATCGAGGCAACACGTCCCCATCTTTGATGCTGTTATTCAAGCTCAATGAAATAYATCTTTGTTTTTCTTCCTTCAGGGATATGCTTTCAATGGGTAAAAGCAAACCTTGGCCAGAAGCCCTTGCAAAAATGACAGGAACAAAAAAAATGGATGTTGGAGCGCTTAAAGAATACTTCGAACCTCTTAGAAAATGGTTGGTGCAGCAGCGAGAAGCACAAAAATATCCAAAAGGCTGGAGCAGCGAAGGTGCTTACGACGAATGCCAGGTGTCAAGCTCCATTACATTTGGTCCTGCTATTTTCACTATCATTAGCTCGTTATTAGCCACATTTGTTTATTTGTTATAAGGAGGCCATGCTTTGTAGTTTTGTAGCATTAAGAGGGAGCATGCAATGTGCAATGTTTGAAATGAATAAACTCTCCTTTTGTTATATATTGATTATACTGTGTGTCAATACTAAGGTTCAACTACAATGCCTGTCACATCTGCTGACAGACATGAAAAAAGCTCATCTAAATAGATCCTTAAGCTTAACGTTTTCCCTTTCGAAACGTCTTGAGAATACGGGGGACTATGTTTTGCTCAAATCTTAATCCYATTTTTTGAATTTTTGTTTGTTTRTWAATCGCATTCCCAGTGTATTATATATAAAATGCTGTTTTCACACCCCAAGATTTAGAGTCGAAGCTCACATTTTACACCTGCAGGACTCTCTCGTATCGTGATCAAATATTCTCGAGGGACAAAGCGCATTTGATCATATATTCAGCATTCATTATGTGAACGGCTTTAGAAGTCTAGGGGCAATTACCCTTAAAATCAACTAATCTGTTGTACTTTCATTTCAAGTTTAGTTGGAAGACTGACCTAAAATAGTTGTATATTTTCACTATGAGAATTCGCTCACAAAGCCCTAGGCACGTGTAAGATATGGGAAGAAATAGGCCCGAGGCTTCGCGAGCGACTAGCTTCAATGGTTTTTATGTGACTATGGTCATTTATCGCTGCGGGGAGGGGGAGTTTTTTCCATTACTTCTCGTTTCCTGCAAACGAGCTATAATGTGCGAGTCCAGAGAGAACGGGAGCGCTTATTTAGGACGCAGGGYGAGAAAATGCATGCCAAGAGAACCCGAGACTCATGCAAATAAACGTYGATGTGAAAAATCTCGTTTTTTGGGCTTTTCGTGCTCGAATTCCAAAGTGAAAATAGGTTCTTCGTTGGTCAATCTGTGTATTGTATGTGTGTGTGTGTAATGTAGGGAGCAGGGAGACTGCACTTGGGAAGTCTGTCTGTCTGTCTGCACATTGTGRGAACTGTGCTCTACGATCAAATACGCTAAACCTTCTATTGCATGAAAACATGTTCAATTTAACTGCGACTTATTTTTATTTAYTTTCATAATTTTAAGAGCGAGTTCTTGGTTCCAGATGAGTACAGATGTGAATGTTCTCATTTAAAATTGCATTTCAACCATATAAAACAATATCTTCAAATACTGGTACAAAATTATCTACTTTTCTGTATCTATGAACTTTCAATTCATCTAAAGACACAGGTAGCCCAAGCAGGGTTCCTATATATGCTGTACAAATGTGTTGGGTATAACCAGCTGATCTGAGAAAAAATGTTAGCCAATCAGAATCAAGAAATTTTGAAAAACTGAGGTGTCACTTTYCCTCTTGAAATCTCGGATTTCCAGGTAACCAAATGAAAAAAAAACTTTGCTAATACTTTGCTTGATAACAGTGACACAATAATTCATGAGGTTTTATATTTTTATTCCAATGACCACATATGCATGTTTGTATTTTTCGCTGATCAATTTTTGCTGGCTTCTTAACACCTTTGTTTTGCAGTGACGTCATTACTATGTCTCTATTTCAGATCAGCTGGAAAATGAAACACTTGTCTGAACATTTTAAGACACAGGCAGCCCAAGCAAGGTTCCAGTATGTGTTACRCAAGAAAACGTATGGGGAATGCAGTATAAAATATAACACTTATCAGAACAAACCGCAATAAAATTTCACTAACTCGTTCGTTGTATCATTCTCCTGCAGGGTTCGCACTTCTGAGAAATGACAGGATATCAGGGGTACGAAAGGAATCATTGCTTAGAAATACACAGGTAACAAAACTTCCATGAGGAAATCTAATGCGGGAACTCATTAGGGGGCTTAAGGCTGTATTTTTATATGCTAGTTAAGAAAAATAATGAACCATTGCAATTACATATATCCTAGAAAATGAAAGCATTAGGATGGTTCTTCAATCCGTTACATCAAGTTACCAGATCAGCCTTGTCATCTTCTTGCCTAGAATATCCTTTAGCAGTGAGTCTTCGGGTTTTGCAATAGTATACCAGACCTATGGTGACGCCGGCGATGATGAGAGGTACCAGAACAATGACAGCTATCACTACACCACCCATACCGCCTTTCTCTTTCGTTGGAGTTGTCGGAATGTCTAAAACACGAATTAAGGACGTTAATGGCCATTGTTCATGCGCATCTTTTCTACGCATGAGTTTTGTGCGTGCGCTCACTCGTGGTGACGTCATTCGTAATGTTTTGATTGGCAATGCCAATATATTAAGAAATGTCATTCTAAAATCATTCAAATTATTATTTTATCAAACATACCAAGTAAGTCACAGGGAGGTAATCCATATTGACAAATTCATCATTACTGCACATGAGCAGAGTATTATTTGTAGCAAAACAGCTTTGCAACATAATGCGCACGAGTAGTTTTCTCGGCCAATCAAAACGACGGAAAATAAATTTGAATGATAAAGATATTTCACTGTACTCATACTGACAATTAGACTGCGAGCTAAGTCCCTCTATTTCCCTTGGTCACTGTCCGTGTCGATTGGACGAGAAAGATTGGTTACGAGTCAAAAGTCCCAATCGACACGGACAGACAGACGGACAGTGACCAAGGGAAATAGAGGGACTTAGCTCGTAGTCTAACTGACAAGAGACTCGAGTCGGTTAAACTAGGAGTCTAAGCAGATTTACCTTGAAAAACGTCGAGCCAWTTCATCGGGGGTGGCCACGAAGTGTGCTTACAGTAGCCATTTCGTTTAGTAATGCTTCCTGCCGCCATTCGCTCGCAGTACCCAAAGTAACCRAGGTTACTGTCAAGAAAGGATGGACATTTTCTTGCAATACTCAAGCAGACGTTCTTACAAACTGTGTAATAAGCGAGCCCTTCACCTTCAAAACAAGGCGGAAATACTTCTGCGCAAAAGAGTTTTTGAATATCCTGGGCACATGATGAATGGTTTTTTATGTAGGTTATCAGTTTTTGAAGCATGGAGATCGGTGCAGGTTTAGCGGCATCTTCGGTATCTGTGAAGTTCTTTCCGTACATTTCCTTGTACGYCACCATTTGTCTTTCCTTTGTTATGATGGTCAGGGGATAACCAATATTTTTGCAAAAAGGAAAAAGGATTTTTGAACACTTTCTTTCTAGTGGTCCTGCAACAACAACAACAACAACAAATAAAAACAAAGAGCAACTTACAATAATAATAGCAATTACTAATATCAATAGACTCAGGGGCGGATCCAGGATTTTGTTCAGGGAGAGGTGCTGCGCACAATATTAACCTTCTGAAGGGGGCACCCCTTAGAATCAAAGGGAAAACAGTATTGGTTATCTTCYAAGTTGGGGCACAAAGTGGAACCAGGGAGGGGTGTGCACCCCCTGCACCTCTTTCCTGGATCCGCCCCTGAGACTTTCACATTAGTGAGAACTTAAGAAGAAGAATAATAATAAAGGACGTTCATTGCATAGACCCTTGCATGTGGAGTCAAAGCATCTCAATAATTTGCATGTGGAGTCAAAGCATCTAAATTTTGAGGTCAAAACAAAAAATAATGTATTTGGGGTGTATTCCAGTCTTCCGACAAGCAAAATAAAATGAAAACGAGTTCACTTCTCATCGCTCAGACACAAAGTCGACGACAAGGTATACCCCTATTTCAAAAAACGCTGAAGGGACAAACAGCAAATGGTGATATGTGATTGGCAATTGCACGACCGAAAGGCACCGGCACAAATAAAAAACCCTTCAATTTCTTGAAGAAATGTTAAAGAACATTTCAATTAGAGGAACCTGTTAAAAAAGCATCAATAGGGTCCAAAGATTTCAGTACAATCCGCAGTCCTTTGTTCCATTTTTAATTTTACAAAGGATAATAATACCATAAAATAACAAAGAATTGCCAGACTAATAGTTATTAATAATATCATGATAGATAGGTATTTTAAGAACATTAAGGTATCAGGGTACCCCAAAATTGCTCAAAAGTATCGATTTTTACATTTTTACATTTTACGATAAAATATATATTCTTCAATTTTCCCCCCAAAAAATTTCGATAGTGATTTTTATTAGCGAGTAATGAAAAAATACGGTTGGTGTCAACAAAGGCGCTCCCGCTCAGTCAGAAACATYTTTGCGTTTTTCTCAGAAGTTATTTTTCGTTCAGTTACCCGTACATTTTGAGTCCAGTGTCAAAGGGAATTTGACCGATTTAACTGAAATTTTGAGGAAGTCATCTTGGATAGTTGTTCTTCAAAAACGTGTCTCCGATTTTTTATTTTTTGCTTATTTCCAAAGTTATCGTGGATTTTTSGCTTGCATACCGGTGATATAGCAGCGTCATAACTTTAAGAGCGTATAAAAAAGCAACGGGGCAACTAATCAAAAATCGAGACACACTTTTGACAAGTGATGTCTCGTGATCTCGGAAAGGTAATAAGCATTGGTTTCCGATCATTACCGGCTGTCATCGAACTCCGCGAAGATGCCACGATGAAAATTTSAATAATTCGCTCTAACTTAAAAGGATAAATATRTTTTACAAAAAGGAAAAAAGGAATAGTTTCTACATTTATTAAGCTTTCAGAAAATGTATACTTTGTTGAGGTTTCGATTAAAAGGCTTTGTGCTATTAAGAGTTGAATGCACATTGGWCGCTAGGGGTACCCTGATACCTTTTAAAATATGTATTATTTTAAGAGAGAATTCTTTTCGTATTTAAGCAGTGAGCGCCAAAAACTATTTTCTTGAAGAAAGGCTGTTGTACAAGGCTAAAATCTTGTTATTCAGAAAGTTTAACTTGTTTATAAGTGGAAATGACCGATGAAAGTGGAATCAAAGTGTTAACCCAAAACAAAAATTTGAATCGAAAATGAGGTTTAGGCCTTCATTTGCTTATTTCCTACACATTTTCTATAAAAAAAAGCCTGACAAAGCTACATTCTAACACAAATGCAACAAAACATCTTTGTACAATTGAAAATATCGCTTCAAACAAGCATTTTATCATAGTACATCAGTTTCTAACTGTTAAAAAAAGGTTTTGAGTGTCAAAACTTATACTAAAGTTTAGTCCTTGGCGCTTTTTGCCATTATTGCTCGTTATTGGAAAACAAATTCTCTTAATGTATATTTTCCTATTGCAGTAATATTATTAGAATATATGCTTTGTTTTACTATGGATCGTGTGACAACTCAATATATAGAGAGGCTCTTTCACGCTTCACTTCAAAAGTACCTAGATGAATAAAGGTAAATTATCATAAAGCCAAAGTTCTATAGTTTTCAAAAGATACATATAGATACAGTATATTTGAGATCGTAAAATAAAATGACCGGCCGTGACGCCGATAGAATTATAAAATAAAATAAAGAACCCAATTTCTAGATGTGCTTGTTTGTGAATCGTGAATTTCACGTGCTGGGTCAAGCTGTCTGGAGCTATCATCAGCTTCGCGTCTTTTGTATTTATGTTTTGAAGATCGAGAAATTACTTAAACCGTATGTAACAGTCTAGAGCTACATATCTTCACTCCATTCCATTCCAATTTTACTTGATATATCTATAAACAAACTGCCACATGTCATGTCCACTATGATGTTTTCTCCTAAAATCTATAAGGTAACACACGACACACATTATTTATTTACTTCAGCAAGTCAAATCAATTGAATGGCCTTCTTGCAGCAGGAAATCAATTTACCTAAAATAAATGTTGTACTTCGGTTAGTCTACTCCAATTACCTTCACTGGAAGAGTTGTGATGCTTAGTAAAGTCTGGAGGCTCAAAACATTTGCCCTCACTTGAAGTGGTGTTTGGAAGGAGAGTACACATCGCTACCAAAATATCAACTAAAAACGGGGGAAACTGGCTTGCACAGCGCTTAAGAAACTCAGAACAGACTCGTTTACAGGGCAAAACAGCGTTGCCGTCTTTGCAGTAGGGAGCTAGATACGAACACGACATTGTCTCTGCTATGCTTGCAACAGAACAATTTCTAGCCATCCGCGTCATGTAATAAATAGTTCGTTTGATTGTCTCCTTTGATCGGGAAGACAGTTCGCGAGGAACCGGGAAGGTATGGTTGTATCCAGAGACACTACAAGCTTCAAATGGTCCACCTTTCAAGGGCACACACTGATCAGATGCCAAGAAGACAGGCACAAAGCACAGGCATAAAGTAAATGAGAAGACTATCACAGAGGACGCCGCCATAATTGCGAGATGTTGACCCGACTCGATGCGCTTCCTTGACTGTTTTCCAAAGGACAATTATAAATTCAATGACCCAGAAGACGGACACCAGTGTTAATCAATTCTTCAGTTGGCCTTTACTGTTAATTTCAGCTCTAAACTCAAACTACTAGAATATTACCCTTTATATTAAAAAGGCGCCATATTTCAATGATCAGGACACAGAATACCCTCGTATACTATTTCATGTAACAGATCAAATTTTTGGTAACGCAATCTTCACAATATCAAAGAGCGTGACAACTTGCCTTAGTGCATTAGTATGTCAATCAATCACAAACATAAGGTATTTTGCTAAATCTATGTTATTATCGCGACTCAAGGGAGTAGCCAGGATTTTCCGAAGGGGGAGGCCCAAATTCAAAAATCAATCGTAAGCATAAAAGCGGATGCTTATACTCCCTGTCGTCAAGCTTAAGTCGGCTCAGCCAGCTCAGGTTGAGTAAGAAAATACCATGATCAACCGTGAAGTACTTGTTTAACCTGTATTTTTATCCTATCCTTTCCGCTATCAGAACTAAGTCCCAATTTCTATTTTCAAAGCTTCTGTAAAATGATGTATGGAGGAGTTTTATACAATGTAATTAAAGAGACATAATAATAAATAATAAATGTTGATAATCACTGTGTCCAGTGTTTCCAGACTGTCTCATCTTCCACTGGAATCCAATTGGAATTTTGAAGTTGATTTTTGCGCAGAGTGAGAGAAAACCGGAGAACCCGGAGAANGAGGCTCTTTCACGCTTCACTTCAAAAGTACCTAGATGAATAAAGGTAAATTATCATAAAGCCAAAGTTCTATAGTTTTCAAAAGATACATATAGATACAGTATATTTGAGATCGTAAAATAAAATGACCGGCCGTGACGCCGATAGAATTATAAAATAAAATAAAGAACCCAATTTCTAGATGTGCTTGTTTSTGAATCGTGAATTTCACGTGCTGGGTCAAGCTGTCTGGAGCTATCATCAGCTTCGCGTCTTTTGTATTTATGTTTTGAAGATCGAGAAATTACTTAAACCGTATGTAACAGTCTAGAGCTACATATCTTCACTCCATTCCATTCCAATTTTACTTGATATATCTATAAACAAACTGCCACATGTCATGTCCACTATGATGTTTTCTCCTAATATCTATAGGTAACACACGACACACATTATTTATTTACTTCAGCAAGTCAAATCAATTGAATGGCCTTCTTGCAGCAGGAAATCAATTTACCTAAAATAAATGTTGTACTTCGGTTAGTCTACTCCAATTACCTTCACTGGAAGAGTTGTGATGCTTAGTAAAGTCTGGAGGCTCAAAACATTTGCCCTCACTTGAAGTGGTGTTTGGAAGGAGAGTACACATCGCTACCAAAATATCAACTAAAAACGGGGGAAACTGGCTTGCACAGCGCTTAAGAAACTCAGAACAGACTCGTTTACAGGGCAAAACAGCGTTGCCGTCTTTGCAGTAGGGAGCTAGATACGAACACGACATTGTCTCTGCTATGCTTGCAACAGAACAATTTCTAGCCATMYGCGTCATGTAATAAATAGTTCGTTTGATTGTCTCCTTTGATCGGGAAGACAGTTCGCGAGGAACCGGGAAGGTATGGTTGTATCCAGAGRCACTACAAGCTTCAAATGGTCCACCTTTCAAGGGCACACACTGATCAGATGYCAAGAAGACAGGCACAAAGCACAGGCATAAAGTAAATGAGAAGACTATCACAGAGGACGCCGCCATAATTGCGAGATGTTGACCCGACTCGATGCGCTTCCTTGACTGTTTTCCAAAGGACAATTATAAATTCAATGACCCAGAAGACGGACACCAGTGTTAATCAATTCTTCAGTTGGCCTTTACTGTTAATTTCAGCTCTAAACTCAAACTACTAGAATATTACCCTTTATATTAAAAAGGCGCCATATTTCAATGATCAGGACACAGAATACCCTCGTATACTATTTCATGTAACAGATCAAATTTTTGGTAACGCAATCTTCACAATATGAAAGAGCGTGACAACTTGCCTTAGTGCATTAATATGTAAATCAATCACAGACATAAGGTATTTTGCTAAATCTATGTTATTATCGCGACTCAAGGGAGTAGCCAGGATTTTCCGAAGGGGGAGGCCCAAATTCAAAAATCAATCGTAAGCATAAAAGCGGATGCTTATACTCCCTGTCGTCAAGCTTAAGTCGGCTCAGCCAGCTCAGGTTGAGTAAGAAAATACCATGATCAACCGTGAAGTACTTGTWTAACCTGTATTTTTATCCTATCCTTTCCGCTATCAGAACTAAGTCCCAATTTCTATTTTCAAAGCTTCTGTAAAATGATGTATGGAGGAGTTTTATACAATGTAATTAAAGAGACATAATAATAAATAATAAATGTTGATAATCACTGTGTCCAGTGTTTCCAGACTGTCTCATCTTCCACTGGAATCCAATTGGAATTTTGAAGTTGATTTTTGCGCAGAGTGAGAGAAAACCGGAGAACCCGGAGAACCCGGAGAAAAACCCTCCAAGCACAAGAGAGACTGACCAACCGACTCTACTCACATACGACGCTAGCCTCCTTCGCAGACGTTCTTAGCGTTTGTCATGCAACGTTTCCCTCCACACAAAGAACGTTTGCGTAGGATAGGCTAAAACGACGCAGGTCGAGTCTGGGAATCAAACTCAAGTCGGCTARCGTCACCCATGCTCCCTCAAGTGCTTTTGAATGTAAAACTAAAAGGCATCTTCACCCAAACGTGGTGTACACCCCTTGGGTTTGAGACTAAAGACATTTAAACTGATCATTTCCATGGATCAGGATTTCACCCTAAAAGCATTGAGCCCGTCCCCACTATCAACTGCGTGAAAGAAACCCTACTGTACTGTATGGTCTTGTATTACAACGTGACCTGATCTCAAATAACTCTGAAACCWCTTCAAATGACATCCTTCTTGATTCTCGGGCGATCACTGTTAGTCACTTAGTGATCATGGGTTTTGGATTAACATTCTCCGCTATTGTGATCTCTTTAGCGCTTTTCGAAGTCACTGTGTCTGCTCAGCAGTGCTTACCYATCTCGGGCAGCATCTTTGAGGATTGCAGCATTGCCGGYTACAACCAAACCTTCAGAGTACCATTCGAGTTAAGCAGTAAATCCAAGAAATGGATAAAATCATTTACATCTTATATAGTTAAGCTACCAAAGAATAACTGTTCGGTTGCACTGATGGGTGAAACGATTCTGTGTTCTGTCTACGCGCCCAGCTGCACGGAGGGGAATCCCAATCCTAACTTACCATGTCGAAGAGTTTGTTCTGAGTTCATGAAGAGATGCCGTGCACACATTGATCCATTTTGGCTCGAGTACTATGTTGGGTATTGCACTCTGCTTCCAAACAAGACAGCATCGTCAGGACAATGTTACGAGCCTGAAGGATTTGAAGAGCACTACAATGCTTCCACAACAGGTAATTCCTCGTAGAAACCTCGTTGTTCGTTTTCTTTTTGGAGCGAAGGATGACCTTGTGTACCAGATATTGTTCAGGCCGCTTTTACTTAGATTTTCGTGATTTGATATGGGGAGAAGTCTGATTCAAAATGCGCTAGACCTTTTTTATTTTCAACACGATGTTTTCCCATGCATATAAAACCATTTCCATTTYGTTTGAGTTAAGGCATCTCTTTAGATGAATCTTATCAAAAGTTACATAGAAAAACAAATTCTACTGGAATGATACTTGGCTCGAAAATAGGAAAATATTGCACCCAATGTTAAGGATTMATCTAAGAGCCTAATGTGTATATACAGGGAATACCTACTTCACATTAAAATAGTTTCCAATTCTTATAATACCCAAACCACTTATCTCTACGACCTCATCTGACCTTCTTCTCAATGCACGCAAATTACTTGAGTTTTAAATATTGACTTGCATAATGTTGATAGGACTACTTGAAGACAAATGCAACCGTCTGGTGTTCCCTTGGTGCAAAGGAATTGGTTACGACCACTCCATCGTCAAAGAGTCTACGCAAATTTCGGAGTACGGATCGCTTTACGGTAAAAACTTTACCAACGCGACYGACGCACACACAAGCGCGAATAACTCAGCCATCTCATATTGGAACAAGTTATTGAGTAACCATTCAAGTTGCGCGCTACAGATACGAAAAATGATTTGCGCTGATCTTTTCCCTCCGTGTTTTCCGCCTGAAGGCTTAGCCTTTTACACCATTTGCGAGTCAACCTGTAGGAGTATCCGGAGCAAGTGTACAAACATCGATGCTTCGTCTCCATTCGGCAAGTATCTAACGTATTGTGAGGCTGTAGCTTCCGGGACATCTTCTCATGGCTTCTGTAAGCACACTTCCTGGCCTAAGCCCCTTCATTGGGTCAACTACTTTAGAGGTAAGTCACGTACTTTAGAGGTAAGTCACTTCTTTCAAAATCCGCCAGACAGTATATTTTATCTGATGATAATTAAACAGATGTTATTTTAGTTTAGGAGGGATCATTAGTGTTAGTCAGCCTGTTGGRTTAGTATACAGGAATGGATGGAGGTAAAAACTAGTACAAGGAGTGGAGGAAAGAATCGACACTGCGCCATAACGCGGCATGCAATGCAACCTGTTGCGTAAAACTATTAAATAACGTAAATAGTCAATAATAAATTAATACTAAAAAATGCTTGGCATAAATAACTGCCACTGGTGTCATGCTTTCCTTCCTGTGATAATAAATGCTTGGCCGCTATGTTTGTTAATACAGCAATAAAAACCAAACCATTAAAGATTAGCTAGTTCATCAAAATCAGGATGCTTTGCGGCCAACCTGATTATTGGAATCGGAAATCAGGAATTGTACAAGTGTTATTTTAGATTCCTGTTTCAGAAATCAGAAAACTGACTTTTCGGCACTGCCTAGGTATATTGCATGGGCGAAAATACAAGTTTGAAGGAGAGAATGCAGGATTTTGGATTTCCGTTTCCCGAATCAGAAATCGCATTTCTGTTTTCTGAATCACGAATCAGAAATCACAATCTYGCTGACATACGACAAAACACCACGTGTAGGGGAGGGGTGACCACTCGAAAATGCTCTTACTTCCGGTATCATTATCTGCGCTCTATCACCCCACCCCGAAAAGTAAGTTTTCTGATTTCTGAAACAGGAATCTAAAATAACACTTGTACAATTCCTGATTTCTGATTCCAATAATCGGGTTTGCCGCAAAGCATCCTGACCAAGTCATCAAACATAGCGGCTACCCCACCAAATATATACTAGGTCGTTTGTTCTCACAATATTGCTTTTCATTTGTAGATTATCCTAAACCAACGCCATCCTCTTCACCAAAGAAAGGAATGAGTACTCCAGTCATCGTTGCCATAGTGATAGTGCCTTTGATAGTAATTGGTTTAGTTGTATTAGGCGTGGTATTCTGGAGACAACGCAGGCTGCCTTGGATTGATCGGCTCTTCAAACGAGCAGATGATACGAGGGGTTTTGCTAGTGACGATCYCCAGCCTTGACTGTGATGAATGGAGGAGATGAGACAGCCCACATTAAATGATGGGGGAGGTGGGGGGAGGGGAAGAGAGTGATAATAATACAAAAAAAAACAAACAACAACAACAAAAAACAAACAAACAAACAAACAAACAAACAAACACAAAAGACACCAACCAACCAACCAACGACAACAACAACAACAACAACAGTAACTAAAACCAAACAAACAAAAAGAAAAAAAATTGCACCTTTAGTCTTTATTTACGCATCTTATTATGAAATGACATAATAACATAGTCTAGGATGGATGCTAGCTGATTCCTTCAGGCAACGAGCAAATCAGCGCGAAGTGAAAATGCACRACGTGTTACCACGTTACCCCGTGGRAAACAAATTATCGTCTCACTGCTGGCCTGACCGGGGTAGGGTACTGTCTATGTTTTTTTCTATCCAAAAAAATTAAATAATATGTGGAACAAGTCTTTAATGATTTGACATCCTTATAGCTAGCTTTCGATTCTTCTAGAAGTGAAATCGGAGCAATCTAGGCTGATCTGACAAGTTTGGGTTGTTTTATATTCGGAAACCACTTTTCTGGATTTGCTTTGGTTTTGGTTGAACGTGATGGGGAMGTGATAGGTTTTAGTTCGAGCTTTAGAGCTTAGTCTAGTTGCAGAACCGATTCAAACGAGACAGAATGTGATTTAGGTTTTAGCTTAAAGGTGGTGTTACACGGAACAACTTGCAACACCGATTTTTCGTGCAACGCTATTGCGCCATTTGTGTGTCGATTTTTTCGACATGTTACACGGGAACAACTTTTCGCGCAACATTTACTTTAGTATTCAGTCCACGCGCTGCCAACTCACTCAYGGCTATCTTTTTTCTTCTTTTCTTGCTTTTATCATTTTTTTATCAACTACAAAAGTTTTATCTTGTCTGTTCAGTTCAGTAGGTTTAGACAATTGTTGCAGTTGCTGTACTCTTTAAACTTACTTCTTCTACAGTCGGCGCCATTTTGTTGCGCGTCAAATCGGCGATGGACATGTTACACACATCGATTTGCTGAAAATTCGTCATCTTGTGTTGCAAGTTTTTTGAAGCCAGATCAAAAACTTGCAACGTGTTGCAGAGTGAAAAATTGCGCGAAAAATCGTCCTCGGCGCTATGTTACTCGACAACGAATTTTCGTGCAACAGTGTTGCGCAAAAAATCGGCGTTGCAATCCGTGTAAMACCACCTTAAAACTGGAATGCACTAGGACTTCAAATTCAAGCTTGTTTGAATGCCGTTGAAMATTATATGAAGATGATATGCAAAACTGTTATTTCCGTGAATATTATAAGGTCCATAAAGTCGTTACTCTTTGGCCCGTGAATATACCATCACATGTAGTACTTTCACATGTAAAGTTATCACCTTTTATTTTTCTCTCGTTAATTCTATAGTGTTTATTACGAACATTTACATACTCCTTTTAGTTATTTCGCCAAATGCAAGGTTTTCCCTGCAGTCTGTTTATATTTTTTGCTTGACGCCGCATTGCAGATATGCACGGGCTCAATGCTAACAAATTTTGAGTTTTGTCATGCAGGCGTGCATCAGTTCAGAGTGCGAACTAATAAAATTGGGCTATCTGTCCAAAAAATCCTTCTATGACAAACCACAGACTTAAAGATAGATTAGTAACAGAATAGAAAAAAATAAATACCATAGTTGGAAAGAAAGATAAGGTTCAAATCAGTAAAATTCAATAAAAATTGTTTAGTGTAACTTTCGTATGAAAATCTTTAGATAAATAGGCTCGAATATTTTCATGCAAAATTTTGATTTTTATAAARTTCATTTTTTAACGATTTTTGGACTTATTTCCTTCTAAATTGACAGTCTTACTATTTTAACATCCTTCTTTTCCATATTTTGGTTATTTTATTTCTCTTTCCATTTGTGGAAAGAGCATAACCGTGAGTTTTGAAAAGCGCTAGCTTATGAACTGCCGCGTCAAGAGACGCAGTCACCACGTGTATATCGATGATTTACGATATCGTGCTTGACGCACCACCTATWTGAAATACCTATTTCTGATTGGCTTCTGGTTGGTTATGATTTGTTGGTTCTTAATTCTATGAAATTAACAAATTGCACACGTCCGAGTAACTTTATACCTTGCGTTTTGGTCTCAAATGAAAAGATGGAGCACTTTTTTTGCTTCAAAACTACGTATTTTACGTAGAAGTAATACAGTCGTTTGCAGCTAACCGACTWCCCGCGGCTGCGAAACATRTTCTAACTGCGCGTCAAACGTTTATGATTGGCCACCAAACGTGTGACGTTTGGCGCTTTGAAATGGCTGCAATGTATTCATTTAAAGAAATAAGCAACAAACTGAAAATTATGAYGTCACAGCTTGTTTACATGGGCAAGAATGATAGGAATTTAGGCGATATTTTTTTTCGTTCGGGATATCTAGTACATATATTATCTAGTACATATGTTATCACCTTTCCCCCTCTAATTAACCATTTTTTATTGTGATTTHATTCGTTTTGCTGATATTTTGCCCCCTCTGGCGACCATGTACCCTTAGCGTTAACAATAGATTGTTTTGATGTGACGTCATTGTGTTATAGGGCAATCCGCTTAAGGAAATTTCAGAGGCGTTAAATATGTTTGGTGACTGTGTCGAGGTTCCCAKCGCTACTGTGTCAAGACACATTCGAAACAAATAACGTTGCCTAACAAAGCGCCAAACGTCACACGTTTGGTGGCCAATCATAAGCGTTTGACGCGCAGTTAGAACATGTTTCGCGGCCGCGGGTAGTTAGCTGCAAACGACTGTATTGAGAGTACCGCTCATGGTATTAAGAAACTTTCATCAATTGAGCGTGGTATTTTTCATTAATTCTTCTCGAATGGTGCTTAGTGGTATTGCCTATACTTATGTCTTCCAATAATTGTTGAATATTTTTGCTMTAAAGAAAAATTGATATTAATAAGCAAATAAAATGAGCAAACAATTGAATAAATGAAAGAAAAAAGAACGAGCGAAAAAATGAAGGAGGGAAAGTATGAACGAATAAAAGAATGAGTGAACGCCGGAATAAACGAGAAAAAGTATGAATGAGTGAAGAATGAACGAGGGAAAGAATGAACGAGGGAAGGAATGAACGAGGGAAGGAATGAACGAGGGAAGGAATGAACGAGGGAAGGAATGAACGAGGGAAGGAATGAACGAGGTAAAGAATGAACGAGTGAAAAAAAGAACGAATGAACGAGTGAACGAGACAGTGAACAAGTGAACAAATGAAAGACTGAACTGTAAACAATTGAAAGAGTGAACCAACGAACGGGTAAATTAGTGAACGCGCGATGAATGAAAAAATGAACGAGCCAAAGAATAAGAGAATGAACTATGTAAAAGTGAATGAATGAAAGAATAAACGAATGAACGAGTGAACGAATGAACGAATGAGCGATCGTGAGTAGAAGAATAAACGAATGAACGAACGAAAGAATGAAAGTATGAACGAATAAACGAGTGAAACAATGAAAATGTGAAATATGAACAAATGAAAGTGTTAAGAAATGAGGAACGAATAAACGAATGAACGAATAAGGACCAAAAAAAATGAAGAAATAAGCGTAAGCATACAGCGAGCGTCGTGTTATGCGAAAGATGACTTGTTTGATGTTCAGGTTCAATTATATCTGTGAAAAGAATCCACGGAATACGCAACAATCATACTTTTATGCTTGCTTAAACAAATTCATTGACATTGTCAAATCTCTTTGACAGAACAGAGGTGAATTACTTTGACCCTCGTACATGTATTCATATTTCAAACTTGAAATGTATCAGGCATACATTGAATATAGGATTACAAATTCTTTATAGTTTATATCCTGCTGGTTCTTCTATGTTCTATGTTCRCAAGCTATCATCATGTGTCTCAAGCTAAATTTCTTCATTTTTACAATCTTCATAACCTTGTTTTTGGATGGACTAGTYGCGCAACAATGTATCTCGATGCCTGGGAGCCCTTTTGACGCCTGTACGGTTGCTGGATATAATACTACTTTTGCAATGCCCTATGAGCTTAGTGAAGAARCAAAGAAATTGGTGTCTTCAGGCTTTTCCATCCTAATATCTGAGTTCGTAAACAATAATAACTGTTCGGTTGCTTTGATGGGTGAGATGATTCTATGTTCCGTCTACGCGCCCAGCTGCACGGAGGGGAATCCCAATCCTAACTTACCATGTCGAAGAGTTTGTTCTGAGTTCTTGAAGAGATGCCGTGAACGCATTGATCCATTTTGGCTCGAGTACTATGTTGGGTATTGTACTCTGCTTCCAAACGACACAGCATCATCTGGACAGTGTTTTGAGCCTCAAGGATTTGAAAAGCATTACAATGCTTCAACAACAGGTATTTGTTTTTAAACGTTTTTAATATCTATTGTTTATAGTAATTAGAATTCAGTAACTACATTTGGTCAATTATATTTTATTTTTGTGATTGAATGACAAATGACAAATTGATCACCGGTGCAATATTTGATGCTGTATTTCAAGCAATTTCCAATAATGTAATATATATRTTTAGGCACTGCCTAAAAGCGGAGCTCCCGATACGGAAATCTCAGGGAGAACAATTTGAATGAAACTGAAAGGTAAAMATAAGATCGGGGAAAAAATCTTCAATTATTTTTYATTCGAGATTAAAATAATTTCTCCCATAATAAAAACCATGCAGTGAAATGGAATCGGAATGCAYTACATTGTTTTTTGTTTTTTGTTTTTTTTGCGCGAGTATACTCTCCCACTTAGSAATTTTGTACACAACTCACCACCACCCCCAGGGGCTAGTTTTGTTCTTGAAAGATTCTTCGATAAAGTTTTTAGGCTTTGAATCTCTTTTACTTAAAAAAAACGAAAGACAACTACAGATTATCCAATAYAATATCAAGTTTAGTGAAATTTACCTCGGATGTCTTTCATTGAAATCGAAAATCTGGAGATTTAGGACAAATCAAGACTAAAAAACAGTCTTGAAAACTGGTTAAGGTGAGCAGAAAATAAGCTTACTTAATTACGTCTTTTACGGAACGAGACGAAGTTTACATTCATTTAAACTTGACAAAAAAAAACTAAGACAAAATAGAAAATAACGCAAAAGGCAATGCAAAATACAAAATGACTAATTTCGTTGTCATTAAATTGGCGTTTGTAAATGTTTTTGAATATTTTTTAGCWTTTTAAAGTGAAAGATCTTTATACAATAACATCTCTCAACAACACAAATTAAGCTCATTTTTATAATCATACTTACTCGAACAGCTTAAGAAACAGTTGAACATTTGGTAAAAATTTATATTTCATTCAATAATTAAATACTGAATTATGTGTAGAAAGATATAAACTTATTGCATGAAAGTCTTCTTTGTTTTGCCGATGGGACCCCGCGATAGGAGGCGAACAAAGCTGCATTTTTTTTGAACGAAAAACATACGATAGTTGGTTAAAAACAACCGGATTGTTAAGATTTACAAAAGCTAAA